TGCGATTGAGATTTCGATTAAATTTTTATTTTAGTAATGTTGTTTGGTTCCTTACGATTTGATGTGACACACAACATAATATACTATAACTAACACATGCTTCCATTTATAATTCTCATTCAGTTCAAATACTGTATCAAATTTAGGAAATCCGTTCACATATCACTTATTGAATTTAAATTAGTTTAATGTAATATATGGTTTCGAAAGATTAACAGTTCAGAATGCACACTTTCAATTGCAGTCAATATAAGAAGGTTGTCATTATTTTTTTTCAATCAGTTTTAACAATTTCATCATTTTGTATACTTTCAAATTGTAAATTAAAAAGCAAACTTTTATTATAATAGAGCATAAAAATTAAATTATAAACTTTTATTCAAAAATGCAACTTTTATGCAATCTTTAAATGTTTCTATATGTATCTGATTATAATTCTCATGTGCTAGAGTTTGATTTTCTCAATATAACGTATAACGTAATTTTCATTTAATCTATGGAAGAATAAAAGATTTTGTGGTTTAATACTTTATTTGTAAGTAAAGTCGAGTAAAACATCTCAAACATTTAACCTTAAAAACAAAACTTAATCTTAATTCGAAATTTTAATTTCAATGATACATAGAACAGGTTTTCTATAAAATAAATTGTTTCAGCAGTTTTACTTTCTATGTAAAATCTTATATCTCCAACATACGCTTAGTTCTTATTATTCTTATTATGTTTAATAATAATTATATAATATACATAATAATAATAATAATTATATAATATATATAATAATAATAAAAATTATATAATATATATAATAATAATAATAATTATATAATATATATAATAATAATAAAAATTATATAATATATATAATAATAATAATATTTATATAATATATATAATATATATAATAATAATAATAATAATAATAATAATAATAATAATAATAATAATAATAATAATAATTAATAGGGGAAAAATGTAATACTATTACAAAACTTGACCTACTTAATATTTTTAGAGACGAACTAATTAAATTCCAATATTGTTCGCCTTATATCTTTCGACATTTCAGAGATTGTAGTCTTATAGTCACTGATCAAGACATGATTAAGCAGTTTATTTGATCTTATTATACCATTCAACCATTCATACCATGTATTGTATTGTTATAACCTCGCAGAGATCTCTCAAACGTAAATGGAAAGGTAACAGTTGTAGCTAACGATGGTACAGATGACGATTTTACTACTTTCAATTGCAAATTTTTCCAATTTTAAGATGTTCAAGGGTTGTAAAACAATCTGTTGTTGTGAAATGGCAAATCTTAAAACTTGATACCTTGTATGAGATTGCTACAAGCAATACATCACTGATACTGTGCTGTATGAGTGAATGACCCTATATTTCCTTTTCAATTAATTAAAGTTATTTAATTAAGTTTCTGTTAGTTTAATAATACAATTAAATTAAGTTTGTTACTATAATGCTTTTTTTAATTAATTTTGAATTTTAAATTTAAATTAAACATTTAACATTCAAATTAAGTATCAAGAGTATTACAGTTTTTTTGGTTGTCACAATATAAAATTAACTTGATAATTTATACTAAAAAAATAAAAGAATGTATACAAATGATAGAAAATACTAATATTTACTCAGCAATTGTTATAAAATTTCAAACATAAAAAATCGTTGGCAATAAAAACAGTACTGAAAACGCCTTGAAGTATGCAACGATATTTTCGTAGAAACTTTTGATTATGATTAATTTTCAGCACTTGCAACAAATGTAATAATAAAATAAAAACATCGGTAGGAAGCTCACAAAAAAATAAAAAAAAAATGTTATAAGAACTTTTACGCATAAATAACATAAAAACTTGAATTGAAATGCTTGAAGATAGCTTGTTTCCGCAGCCTTCCCTGCGCAACACCGCTCTCCACCGCTGCTTGCATGAGCATTTCCATTTGATATAATTAAGTTAATTTATTTCAGCTTTGCTATGTGTGTCTTCTCGAGTTTGTGTCTTGACGAATTGTCTCGATGTGTGAATAGCGTTGGAGGATTACATGCAAGCAAGCACCGTATCCTATGCATCCAGGATATGGCACATAACGCACACAAATACCTGCCGCACATATGTATGAGTCAATTTGTATGCATGTATTTGTGTGCCTGCTTAAATGATGTGAATTTATAAGTACATTTTTGCGGTGTTAATAATGTTTTTGTTACTTTTCTCTATGGTTTTTTTTCTTCAGTACTCGTACAGTGCTCCATTCTACTCCATTCTTTCGTAGAGAATTTATTTATTTATTTGATTTTATGTCTTTTATATACTTGACGCACTTTTATGTGGCATTCCGTGTTTCTGGTAAGACTTGAGCTATTCATTATAGACAGACTCACATACGCATTTGTTTTTCTGCACTTCCCAAGTAATACTTGAACGTCATATTGACTGAGTTAAGCAAGGATATTCTACTTAAGTGATTTATTTCCATACTTACACACAGAACACACACACACACATATATATATATATGTATGAGTTTCTGAGCTTAAATTAATTTTGTTGCAATTGTTTAGAGCACTTAAAATGGTATATAATTATACGAAAATACCTGTGAAAAGTTCAAGATTTTAATCTTATATTTATGTTAAATAATTAAAAACAGCAATTAAAATAAAATTTTAAATTTGCGTATGGAAATGAAATAAAATGTTTGTTTTTTTGTCAATTTAATTATAGTAATAAAAAATTTCTTAAAAGTTGAGAGGAATAACGTCTTTAATAATCTTCAAATATTCGTATGATCATGTTTTTTATTGTGGAAGTATATATATACGTTGTTGCGATCACTAATCCCACAATTCGAATAGCCGTATTATTCTTCATATATGTGGTAGACTCTCTTTTAACACACTCCTTTATGTCCTATCTTCCGCTTTAGTTCTTAAGAAACCAATTAACCAAATATTTTTTTTTATTTTCTATATATTTAATATCTTAATACATTCCTTAATATTTTATCTGTATCTTATTGGGTTGATCAATTGCAGTGGCAGGACAGTAGATAATTTTCCGCTAGTGTTAATTAACAATTTTTTGCTGTTTTGCTATCAAATACATCCCAGGAAACCTTAGAACATAAAAAGTCCAAAACTAGATCCATCACATCGAATGAAGATAACTTAATAGATCCTCATTCTTATGAATGAACAGTCTGACAAATTGTCAAAAAAGTACTTCCCTAAACATCTATCCCTTCTGGGGGCCAAATACGGGCATTCACAGTAAAAATCACTTAATTCACAGTTTTTCTGTGAATACTCGTGTCTAGCCTTGTTAAATTCACACAGCGCCTCAATCTTATGGTTTAGTTCTAAACAAACCAAAACTTTTTTTTAAATTTCCTATTAATTAATACAATAATAAAACTCTCTACATATATGGTAAGTGATCTTAATACTTTCATTTCTGTTCCAGCTGATATTTCAAATCTCACGAAATCAATTACTTTTCTTTCTTATATGTAACTTTTCATCAGTTCTGGCATTGCTTTAAATTAAAGAGTTATAATGATGTGCAGAGTAAATAACTTTACTAATTTTAAAGTTATTGCCGCGAACATATTAGCAGTGACATTATTATTACTTAACTACACATACTAGAATACTACACACCGAGACTCAGATGACTTACTACTATATCTAGTATTAGTAAAAACCAATTTTTTCAATTCGTCTTGACGGTTTTGTATTGCTCTATATGTTATAGGGAACACAGAATTTTTTTTCCAGATGAATAAGTCTGCTGCTGATAAATTTATGGAATACACAGAGAATGCCTTAAGTGTTCACTTCGACTGTAAAAGTTGAACATATTGGTCTCTGAGAGGCGCATTTTGTGGATTCCTCGTGCAACAGTGGTCTTTCAGAAACCCAAAGAAAATTTTCCTTTTGCTTAATGTAAAGAGATTATTATGGACTAATTTAAATTACATTCTTCCAACATATGGAAGCATATAAAAAGCAACAAATCTGCCTCAGAGATGGATAAGTCTGCTTAGTTTGGAGCATTTACATATGGTAGAGTGGTTTAGATAGCTGATAGGTAGATATTGATTTTTAAAATACCCATTTTGTAATGATGATATCTCAGTCAGCTGTGCTCTGTCAGAAACCTTGTGAGAATTGTTTCTTAATACTCATTATAAAACAGATTATAAGAGACTACTTTAAATGGATTAATGAATTTCTTGGCCTATCTGAGATACTGCGAGTCTTTCCAGAAACTAATTTTTCTCCGTATATGAATACTTGTCAGTGTGCAGGATAACGCAAGTCTAAATATTTGATGTTTGATACCTAGTTTCGCAATGCTGTCGGTCCTTTTCTTATTTTTATCTACTTTATACCAAGAAACCGGCCACAATGTAATGCTGTTGCTTTGTCGTGATTCACTAAAGAGTGATAAGTTCTTTTGAATCAATTTTAAAGCATTTGAAGATCAAAAAGACCGCTTACCTTTTACACATAATATTGATTGTCGTTCTATTTGACTTTTTCTCATACGTTTCCGAATATGCGTATCAATAGCATTTATTCGACTTAAAATTATCTTTAAAACAAAATGGTGGAATGTTGTGAAATCCGGTTACCGAATTATTTTAATAGAATAACATAAAACGGGGAAATGGCATTTAGAACTGTTTTAATAGGTCGGTAAACAAAGAAAATTTGTATCAAAAATATGTTACCAACTTAAAAAAAATCACATAGCTCCTGATAGTGAATTTAATCATAACATGGGTAAGATGCACATGGTAAGCGATTACCGATTACTATTTATAAAGGATTACTTATTATTTTTCAAAATCTTGTCAACAAAGTAAGTTGATGAGTAAATAATCGAAGTTAGCTCAGATTTTTAAAAAAAAAAATTATTTATATGCCAGTTCAGTTTTAAAAAATTTGTTCATCCACAAACTAAATAAGTTTTGTTCTCTTGTTGTACGATTTGGAGTAAAAATAAACGCGAAAATTCGTGAGTAAATTACCTAAATTAAAAACGGAATTAAGGTTATGTGTAACTATATGTTTAAACTCTGATTTCCTGATCATAACCAAAATAAAATTAATCTCTAAATTCATCACTTGCAAGCTTCTGTGTCCGACATTATAAAGGACTTCAACTACATAACCATAAGCACACAATACATCTCTTTGCGTGTCAGTTGTAATGAAAAATGGATCTTAAAGGTTGCAACGAATATGTTTTTGTTGAAAAAATCGGCGCTGGGTCTTTTGGAGATGTGTACATTGGAGTCTCAGATACCGGTGAAGAAGTAGCAGTAAAGGTGGAAAAGCGAAATAAGTATCCACCTTCATTGCGTATTGAGTCTAATCTATATAAGAGTGTACAAGGCGGTCTCGGTATACCTCGTTTTATTTGGAGCGGCATAGAAGGAGAGTACAATTTCTTAGTAATGGAATTACTTGGTCCATCACTAGAAGATCTATTTAATTATTGCAACCGTCGTTTCAGCTTGAAAACTGTACTTCAGTTAGCCGATCAAATGTTAGAACGTGTTAATTATATACACTCGCACAACTACATACATCGTGATATAAAACCTGATAACTTCGTAATGGGCTTAGAAAAAAGGGGAAATATTGTACATATGATTGATTTCGGTGTTTCAAAAAATTATCTTGATTCGGACACATTGGAACACATACCGTACAGAGAAAATAAGCGTTTAACCGGTACAGCACGCTATGCGTCAATGAATACTCATATGGGCATAGAACAATCACGGCGGGATGATCTGGAGTCGTTAGGTTATGTGCTATTATACTTCGGTTTGGGGTCGTTACCATGGCAAGGTCAGTTAGCTATGAACAAACGTCAACTTAAAGAACAAATTGCTGAAAAAAAGCAATCAATTTCGATTGCAAACTTGTGCAGTGGCTGCCCTGATGAATTTGCCATCTATATGGACTATTGTCGTACATTGAAATTTGAGCAGAGACCCGACTATTATTTTTTACGTACACTTTTTCGCAACTTGTATCACCGCTTCGGTTATATTTATGACTATCTATTTGATTGGAATATAATAAGGTTTAACGAAGTCACTCTCTTTAGCGCAATGGAAGAAAATAATTGTGAAGATAGTGAAATCAACGGCGAACAAGAATTGCGATTACCTGCTCCTAAGCAACACACTGCTGCTGCTTCTTTGGTTGATTCTCCTTTAATTAATAATGCAATTCTTGACAGTTCCATAGTTGCTATTCCTGCCGCTTCTCCTACTGTCAGTACTGCTTATCCAACTGTGCCTGTTGTTCCTGTTGCTGCGGCTTATGCCACATATGCTAATGCTGATGCTAATGAAGTTCCGCCTAAGTTATCGGTTGATAACGCTGTTCCAATAGTTCCTGATTGTGTTGCTTTTCCTACTGATGCTGCAGTTGTTTCCACTACTCTATTTACCGAGTGCGTAAATCGTGCTCCGAGTGATGTACCAGCAGTTTTTCCTCATTAATTTCATTATAGCGATTAATCCTAAAAAAATGAAGCTGATCTCAAAGCAAAGCGTGCACTATTTTACCTAATAATCTGTTACAGTTGCTTAAGTGTCGTGACGAGAACGGTAGCGACGTTTTCAAAGGACAAATCAATAATATATAATCAATTTACAGTTTTGAAAAAAAAAATTTAATTTAATGAGAACAAAATTTCATTATAATAAATAAATTACAGTCACTCTTTGTTGCTTCTGAAATTTTTTGTGGAAAATTTATTGTCAAGTAAAAGCATTCAAACAGATCTGTAGATCAAGATAATTCTTTCTATCTCTACACTAAAAAGCACTTGTGGCTTACCTTTATTTCTATATTTTATTTCGATTTATTAGAATAATCCTCTTTCCGAATAAATATGGTGCTATATATGTTTAACGTATTTATCGAAACTCTTCGGATGAAAATATCTTCAGTTTGTTGACCATTCGAATCCTTTTAAATGGTAGTGATATGGAGCATGAAATCGAAACGAATTCGTCCATTTTTATTTTAGACATAAGAGAATGGTAAAACTCCTATGAAGCCAAGTTAGGTAAATAAGATGGAAAATCGATAAGAATGATTTTTTAAAACACGCCCTCAAACCTTGTGCAGAACCTGAACTTAAAGTCTTGGAAATAAGACTCGCTGTTCGTACTATTATTCTGTTACCTAGCAGGTGCCAGGTGACTAAACAGGGCTGTCACGTGAAGGCTGTGCGATAACTTAGATTGAGGATGACAAGGATTGCGCTGGTTACTTTGCGTATTTGCCTCCAAGGTTTCATGGCTTCCCCCGAAACGGAATATATAATTATATTGCATATTATGGTGCATATTTTCAAAGTGACAATTTAGATTTCGTTTGATATATTTTTTCCGTGATATCGTAGTTTATAATAGTTCCGCATATTTTGCATACAGAACCTGAATTTCGTTATGGGATTTATTTAATATCAAAAACTTAAAAAAAATGGTTTAGAAATTCAAAGTTTTTTCTTAATTTAAAATCTATAATTTTGACAGGCCACACCAACTAATAACCATCCCACTGTCTTCCGTTGCAGTATATAAATATACATCGATTTGGACTGAATTAATTTTGTTATACATATTGCTATAGTTTAAATTGTTATATATAAATATATCCGTATTTCCTTTTTTTTTCCTTAAACTTTTTTATTTTACTTTTTGTTTTTTTGTGGCGGTCATTATATACATAAAATTTGCTGATTTTTCAAAATATATTCTGTGCTCTACATTCACCGTCTATACTGCATCGTGTGCATAAAAATTATAAAAACGGACGAAATTTTCCAAATCTGGAGCAATGGCGGGAAAAGTCCAAAGAGAAAAAAGAAAGCCATCCACATAAATACTCTCATATATCGCAATGACAGCACTATCGGTAGTGGCAACTGCCTTACGACCACATGTATGCTTGTATGTGTGTGTACATGTATGCATGTATGCAGGGGTATGCATGCTTAAATATATACATTTAGATGTATTTTTTTTCTGATTTTGCAATTGACCACAGTGCAAAGGGCAAAAGTTGATAACTACGAATATGCAATTATAGACAATTTATGTGACATTTGCAATAAAGTGTTTTCCGCTGTATCTTTTTTTAGCTGTGATGGCTTATATACGTTGGTCGTGCGATTGTTATGTTCTCTTCAATTGTCAGACCATTAATTTTTTTCTGCTTTTTTACGTAGTTTTTCCTAGTAAATGAAGAAGTCGTTTTGTTCTCGAAATGTTTTCTCCTGTTTTGGAATTTTTTTTTTACGAAAAATAATAAATTTCTTCTAACAAATGAATTTCACTAGTAATAAAGTTGAAAATGGCAGTTTTAACAATTTAATTGTTGTGCTGGAACTGTTTTTGGAAAAGAAATGATAAGATAAAAACAAAAGAGAAGTGATATTTTACTTAAGTTTCTTTTTTCGTACTGACAGACAAGTAAACAATTTTAAATTCAAAAATTCACTGTTTGAATTATCGAAATAGAAAGTTTTTGAATAAGAAATAGTATAAGTATTATTAATATTGTGAACTGAATCAACATATATACTTGCTAATACAATTAAATATACTTCAACAACAACAAATTACCCTGCAAGTTCATTTTCCTAAAGATGACTTTAATCATATACACAATGTATAAAAAAAATAATTATTATAAAAATAATCTTAACAAATATGTTATAAATTTATATATAATACAGAAACAATTTTAACCCAACGCTAAAATAGTTAATATTTAAATTTTATTAAACCAGCTTTTTAATAAGATCATATGGCGAATGGTGACGAGAATTTTACGCTCTTTTTGGTCATGACCAAAAGGCATATTTTACTCAGAGTCAGAATAAAATAATAAATTAAAATAAGCATAAATAAATACATCAAAATAAGCACAAATAAATAAATAAAAATAAATTAATAAATATAAATAAATAAATAAAATAAATAAAATAAATAAAATAAATAAAATAAATAAAATAAATAAATAAATAAAATATATAAATAAATAAAATAAATAAATAAATAAAATATATAAATAAATAAAATAAATAAATAAATAAAATAAGTAAATGAAATAAATAAATAAAATAAATAAATAAAATAAATAAATAAAATAAATAAATAAATAAAATAAATAAATAAAATAAATAAATAAAATAAATAAATAAAATAAATAAATAAAGTAAATAAATAAAATAAATAAATCAAAAAGCAAAAACAAAAAGTAACAGCAACTTATAACGAAATGATGCAATATATGTTAATGGATAACAAAACAAAACCTTCATAAAATTTCAATTAATCGACTTTAAAAAATTCATTTTAAATGTCGTCATATATCACATTTAAGACAATTTATTTTTATAAAATTTTTCTAATTCTTATTGTTATCTTTTACATGAAATACTTCGAATATTAAAAATATTCAAAGGACACGCATTTTTATTGCTGAGATACAATAGTCCCCATTTAGGAATCAGCAAACTGTTCATGTGTGTAGAGTTGCAACACAAACAACATATTATTCTATACTATACATATATACTATTCACAAAATTGTTAGATTTTTCTATATAATACAATGTCATAACCATATGTAACTTATAAGTTATAACAGAAAAAATGCGTAATATATTTCTATTAAAAAACAACAAAATAGTATTATCTATAAAGCTAAATTAGTGTTAAAAATAAATAAACGTACATGTCTGTATATAGATATATAAATAATTGATAAAATGACACATTCAACGTATGACATTAGCAACAATTTCAAAGTTTTTAAATTCAATATGCCAACGAAATAGCAACGAAAATAGAAAAGACAAGTTTTTGACTATAAACTTATTGTTAGATAATGGTAGTAGTTACTATATCTTCACACATTTTATATAATTATTATAGTTATATATATATATATATATAT